CATGTTCGAGTGACAACAAAACTGCCGGGTTTCCTACAAAGCGATTCGATCGGTATGTCGTTAACAGTTGGATGTACAAAACATATGTGGCTTCCTTAACGGTATCGTAGTGATGTTGTTTAAGTCCTTGAGATTTCTGAGTTATATATACATATACATAATAAACAGAGAAGTCTGGATTTATTTACAATAAAAACTTTAGTAAAATCTGAGTGTCATTATCTATTGACAACCGTATTACCACATCTGTCTCTCCCCATCAGAAGACTTCTTACACATCACTGGCTCTGGAATTTTGTACGTCTAACCCCGATGTATTTATCCGTTGGTTCATGTTCTTCGCACCCTGGCAGCTGAAACAATCAAACAAGTTTTAGCTGTTTTTAGTTTTAGACGGTCCGAAAGGTGATATTTACATTAGAAGCGTTTCCATTTCAAAATATAAAACACGGGATTCGAGGTTTTCACCGCACTTCTCACAGATGTCATGCTATTGAAGTGAAAAGAATGACATAGTGTAGGATGTATGACACTTGAAATACTCACATTCTCAACATACAGTAATCATGTGAGCATTTATGACCAAATACTTTCGGACAATGATGAAAAATTGAATAACCAAGGTTGATGCTGTGGTAAAACAATGTGACATTAGATACTTCCACTTGGGTGAATGATTTGAAATCCAAAATTTGGGTTCCTGTCTTTCTTGCTTGTTGATCTTGTGACGAAGCTTGCCCCAATATGCAGATCTATAGGATCTATAGATAATTTCACTCAACCATATGCAACTCCACGAATTATAAGTAAGTAATTATGAAGTGTGCATTTTATGGAGATAGTCAAATTAAAACTTACTCATCGAATAGATGACAGCAATTAGCTCTGTATTTCCTGATGTACTCGAATGCAGATCGATTTCAGAAATGGCGGATTAATTGCAGGGTTGGGGCGTGTATCACAACAGCTAACCTTCCAACATACATGGGAGTCCCATTTTTTGTCAAACGGAGAACTGAATACTTGGTTGATTTGTGAGTCACGTGGATGACGTGGTGAACGAGTGAAACAAGACAAGAAATAACAACATCATGGTGAAATGTGCTGATATTAAAATTGGTTATCATTTATTTATGCTTATATTTCACTGTTTCTCTGAAGCCTACTCAACGACTGAGCGTGGTGATGCGGTGTGTTTCCTTTGTTTATATTTATTTATTTATTTATATTTGAAAGTTCGCATGAAACCGTGCTTAATCAAGCTAATTCGAACGGTTAGAAACATTTTTCATAACCGACGTGGTTATGTTCTAAGATCAGAGTAGACAATGCTTTGTTTGGTTTCCCCAGGCGCAGCATGAATCTGTTTGATGTACACATCAGTTTGACGTGATTTTTCGAATAGATGCAGTGTTTTCATTCTTTGTTAGCATTCCAACCTCATTTCGACAGATTTAATACGGACATTTATCACCTGCGGTAGTTCAACTCAGCTCATGTTTTTCCTCTCATCCGTCTTACTATCTATCTACTATTTATTCAGGTGTCTTACTGATGCAGGGCGATGAGGCCTTGGAAGCGGCATTCCGTACGGGAATCCAGGCGGCCAATCAAGTGCTCCGGGAAAACGAAGCGCTACAATTTCATCAACTGGAACCTCTGATTGAGACTGTGCCCAAGGAAAATGTCTTTGCCGCAACGCAACAAGGTAAGATCACCTTTCCAACCACTACTGTATAGATATGTCATATTGCGACAAATAGGAAGAAATCTAATGAGCTGCTGTTTCCTGTACGGCACTTTTTCAGCATAAACAATTTTTACATCGCCGCGATGTTAACTCGAGCCAACACATTCAAATATAAAGTTATTCAGTTGGCATAACCTGATCAGTTTGTTTTGATATTTTTTAACCTTCGTAGAACAGCATTTTTAAACGAAATTAAGTTTTGCACAAAGAGTATCACTGATTCGGTAGTGTACGTGCGTGGAACTACCGCAAGATATCGTGCTAACGTCACGGTAGATATGTACTACAGATAACGACAACAGGTTGTTGCATGGATAGAAATAAAAGATGCATTTATATTTCACTCGTTTAAAAAATAAAAATACCCATAAAATCCCAAGCAAACTCTATCAATTCTAATTTTCTGTTGAAATCCCAGTGAGTTATTTAAAGAGACAACTTGAAATGATACTCGGACATCTTGAAATGATATTTAGACAACTGTAATTGCAAAAGTTATAGAGACACTTAGTCCTGTTACAATAAGAAGCATGCTACAGAAATACGATAAAACGTTGAACATGCGAGTAAAAAACACCCCGTAGTAGAAACAGACAAAATTAAGAACTGCAGGTAAACATTAGTCCATTATAGGTTTGTAGAGCATACATACTTCTGTGTTTAAAACGTCAGAGCGTACGTGCAGAATACAATAAAGAGATCAGATCCGATGGAAAATGTAATAGTTGAATGAGTTTTTCACAGCCACCCACTTGACGCTATGTACGATCTTCGTAATTTTTAATTTCGAAATTAACTTCTGGGTTGTCCGTATTTTCCCCACATGTGAAATGCAATCTATTCGAATTGTCGACCGAATACCCGTCAAATGTCGAATGGTTTCTTCCAGAGATCACTTTCTGAAATTGCATTGTCATCCGCCCAGTGTGTGGCTGTTGACTGGGTGGCTCAGGCGTACAGAATCGTTGCCCGATTTGGCAGATTTCGGCAAGAAATAGTGTATACATTGCTGATGGGATCCAACCCGGACGCAACAGTTGTTCAGTCTGGCTGTCACACAACATTTTACATCTCACATAAGCGGTACCTCATGTGATGGAGCAAAGTGAACTTCCACGAAGCAGCGAACCTCAACGTACACGCTAGTGCTATCAATCGTGGTTTTGTCGTTATGATATTGACTCGACTGAGCATTTTTTCACAGCTATCCCTAAATAAAGGGCATTTTCTTTGAAAATATTCGAGAAAATTGGTGAAGGATATAAAATTGGAAATTATTGCTTTTAAGTAGAACACAAGACAAATCTCGTTATGTTATATTTTGTTATACAAAGAAAAAAACCTTTTTTTGTAAAATGATTACCGATTTAATGCAATCGATTCACTTTTCGTCTGAACTGAGAAATATTTTTCAACCGGTGGAAACATTTTATTCGTCTATCACCAACTGAAAGAGAAAAGATTTTCCACAAACATCTTATCTACCAAATACATACTTATGGATTACTGGGCCCTGTTTAGAAATAAAAAGTGCATGAGATACACAACAATACACTGCTTACCCCAAGTTATCGCGCTTCCAGATATGGTGACTTAAACACAACTGTATTTTCAGGTAAATGGAATCTCTTGAAATATTTTCGTTCAATGGTGTACTTGATCAACAACTAACGAAATCTAAAAACATATTGATAGATTGTGGTTTGTGATTATTACAAAAAAACAGAGGTGTGGGTAGTGATATCTAGAAATGACTCACATATGTGTGCAATTTTGATTAACAAAGGAACCTAACTAAATACTACCCTTTTCATTTTAAAGTACTGTTTATTCATTCCTGTCGGATCTAGAGGGAAAATATCACGGTAATATTCAGTGTGCCCTGAGATCACACGTTCAGTTGCCTCGCCGTTATAAATACAACAACAGGAATAAATAGACATTAGTGAAACCAGCAAAGGTAAAGTGTCTTTAGCGGATGTCCTCACTGTTAATGATACTGGGAATAAGTATGACATGTGCTGCAATAATGACCCCTCCAACTGACCGCACCAAACTTTCTCAAATGAGGTCCAACAGGTTGTCTTCGTTAGACTGAGCCAGCGGCGGAGCAATTAGCCCAACAGTGCTCTGCGGAAAAGATGCACAAGAAGCTACATTCTCGTTCAACTGGCAGTATCATGTCATCAAGCAGAGCATGACTCAACCGTCCAAGCTACCGAACATCACCTAACCCAGCCAAATCGCTGTGTCTCCACCTTTTGGCGACTTCGGAAGCGATCGACATTCGTTTATTGACATCCAGTCTACGTTGGCCCATGTCATCCAACTACCATGGCTCGAGGTCGCTCACACAAATGACGCGTAACAACTAGATTGCAGTGTTGCGATGGCCTAGTGGTGTAAAGCACATCGCTTCACTCCCCTTATAATCCCTCTCTCAACTAAACACTATGACCCGACTGAAATTCTTTCCTCTTTTAGCATGTCACTTCCACATGTGGTCTGTACAAATTAGACGTTCAATCAATGAAAACAATTATTCTCCTCTGAACGTTCTGTCCTCTTTGCTAATTTGCTTTCAGTATGGTCACAAACTAACAAAAGAATATCGAAAAACGACAGAACATGGTTTTGAAAAGTGTAGAACGTGTTGTTATTCCCACATGTTCATCATCATAGAGATATAACTTCAATCTTGTTCGTCGCTTTCTGAACAGATGAAAGCGGTTCATGTCACTCAGGGCTAGCACGCTAGCACGCGTCACTATCAGTTCTGTTTACTCGAAAGATGACTGAATAAACAACAACTCCGTGTCCGCGCGGCCTCCCCAAGTGTTTATTTAATCGGTGATGCAACTGGTGTTATAAACATTGTCTATACAAAGCTTGACCAAATAGGTCGTTTTCTGCAACTCATTGGTAGCATGCATTCATATGCTACTGCCTCCCCTTTATACAGCCCCGTGGATCCCTAGCTCACTGTGATCGCACACAGTTACGTGTGCAAGCGTGCGTATGCGTATGCATGTGTGCCCGCGAGCGTGCTTATGCATGTGGATGCACATTAGGACTTTCGCAATTTTAACGGAATTAAGCACGTATGAAATATTCCCAACGCTACCTGAACAACATCAACAACAGCAGCACCAGCAACACCAACAACGCAGAGGAATTCGGAAGAAGCCTATGAACGCTGTGTAACGAATTAGCGATAGAGAAAAATCATGAGACGCAGTACAGGCAGATAAGCAATTTGGGAGAGAAGATAGACGAACTGTTTGTCAACAAAACGATTGTGTGTATAATATATATTTATACATACTGGATATTATCATTTGCATAGTGAAAGGAGTGCAAATTTAAAAGCTAGGAAGCATTGTACAGTTGTTTCGATTTAGTTTGGGTCACATCAGCAGTGCGAATTCAGCGACTCAATTGGGGATTAAACACAGAACTTCACAGATAGAACCCAAGCGTACTACCCACTTAATTACCGAGTAGCTAATCAGACCTTTTTCTATTTTATTTAAACACGATATAGCACGAGGCAAACATAAGTTGCTGGGATTTGCATGCGTACACATTTCTACCGTAGTGTGTGTGTGGGGGGGGGGCGTGATGGTAAAACATGCGTATGGATCAATTCATTTGTAAACGAGTTCATCCAGTATGAGATCATTGACAACAATGGAGTGAACTAAACGTATGAATAAACCTGGAGGAATTTTCTTCTAATTCGGCAATCTTCGAATTGAACTGATCAGGTGCTGTAGTTCAGCTCATTCCTTGAACCAGACAATCGGAAAACGCAGGAGTCAAAATCCATTCTAGACAACATTTTTCATTTCCAAAAGTTTCTTGCATAACTAAAGGAAGAAAGGGGTGCCAGAACAAAGAGAGTCAGTATATTTCCAGCGTAATCCAACTGAATGCCCATTCTTTTGTTGGGTTTTCTTACAGATTTGATTACGTGTTTTCAATCATACCTACTACGCCTATTGCAATTGAAATTGACTGAATATTATTTCCGGGTATCATTTCAGGATGTTCAACCATTATATCAAGTTTTCTCAGCAACATTTAAAGTTGTCTGGTTGACCTTATCGGCGCTGCCAGGCCGATGTACTGTTCAAGCCTCCTAGTGATATCTGAATGACCACCATGAAACACAAATTTCTCAACTTTTTATCTTGAGACAGCTTGAAATGGTACCCGAACATTTTGAAGTGATATTAGAACATCTTGAATTGCAAAAAGGATTGCCAATCTTGCATAAATGTTACGCATTCATGCAATTTATGTGTCATTGCACAATGTTCAATGTTCAATGTTCTTCAATTAGAGGCAGAAGGTAATTTCCCGTATGAGCCTCATCACCACAGACTCAAAGATCTCATTCATGATAGATCTGCATACCACATTGTTCGCAGGACACTGTCGAGCTTCCTATTGAACATCTTATCCAGACGGATATCCTCGCCAATGTGCACGCGTACACTACTAACAGTAATACACCACATGATGATAAAAGAAGTAAGACGAATGGATGTGGTAATAATGTGGGCCCGTATAAATTGTTGATAATAACTCCTACACTAATTACACAAAACGATTAAAAATTGTAGGGATTAATCGAGAAAGGAAATGTAAACTTTTCAAACGGCTGAACTATTTTAGCAGATTTAAAAAAGCCTTTCTTTAAACCACTCTCCGATTCACTTTATCAAAATTTTATTTTGACTCCACACAGGTAATAGAATTATCATACAATGCACCTGTTTGTTTAACCAGATAGATCGATTCATTCTTGAGTACCTAAGCTGAACTGTGGTGTCATTTCAGTTTGATCCGATGCGGAGCAAAGCGTTTTCACACAGGACTCACTTATGACAAATTTTTATGAAAGACAACTGACAGGAGACAGATCCGCGTCGAGCTCTTTTCGGTTTGACGATGTTGTTTGTGTCATCCGGCGAACAGTCCCGTTCTTTCCTTAAACTGGGTTGTTGTCATCTCTAGTTGGGTGTTCCATTTTTGTCCCTGGCCCCAACGATCCCCACAGTAAAAGCAAGCAAGTGATGCCAGAGCGAGAGAGAGAGAAAGAGCACGCGAACCCAGCCCTGGTTGTTCGCTTGTGAAACAATTCGCTCGTGTTGAAAGGGCCGGGAGGTGGTGGGATGGCACAGATGCGTTTTTTTTCAATGAGGCCATCCTCTGTCAAACTCCCATGGGATGAAGCGCAACGACGCACCCAGAGGACCGCGTTTTCACCCTTCCCCTTGTCGTTTACATCCACAGCATGTTGTTCAAGCTGCTGGACCTGAGTATTGGCAAACGGAGACTGATGGAACAGTGTTTGTTCCACAATTCGAGACTCATACGATGGGAAAAACCTCCGGGGAGATGTGTGTTTGTGTGTTAATTTGTTCTCACACACACATATATATATATATATACATACATTCGCTGTCTGATTCTAAGCATAAATGACCTTCCTGTAATCATATTCGTTGAGATTATTTTCTAAATGGAATGGGTTGAATAATCATTTTTAATCTATGCACACCTAAGGCGAGATTCGTCATCTGGTAAACGGGACGTTCAAAGCGTGACACAAGCAACCGATTTTCATAGAAAGAAAACTGCTTCGTTCATAACTGGTCTGGATTAGGGAAGCCACTTCAAGCCACTTCTCTCGGGTTTAGTGGTAAGAATAGTAATTTTAAGTGTTGGAGGTTCTGAGGAGCGACAACGTATGCAGTTTATCCGGTTATCTGATGATACGTGGGTCTCGAGCGGGTAGTGGGAGGAGTTATTTTAATTCAGTGAAAACCTTTGTCACTACAGCTCAACATAGACGTTCAATGCGCATATCAGAAGCAGTAGTTCCGATCACAGCTCTCCGCAGCAATGCTAACAACCGTTGATTCAATGGTTGATCACACAATTGGAATGGAGGCAGGTTTCCCACGCGATCCATGCTCAGTTTTTCTTTTTCTGTATGCACATTTTAAAGCTTGTCGCGGCCATCTAACTTCGCTCATCCGGTCATTAGCCTCCAGTGTTTTGACTTTGTTAGAAGCAGTCCGAACTACTTGCACTTCACACACCCAACTCGGTTTTAAACTTGGTGCTATAAATATACCGAGTTTGTACTTCAGCACGGCAACCGTGGTTAGTCAGTGTTTGGCAGACTGTTGTGAGCTACCGTCACGCTCGCATGATTCCCATTCACCTTGGAAGAACAAAGACATTTACGTAGATCACTATAAGGCATTGGTAATCATGATGATTGAAGATGCTTACTGATGACGACGAATCCGAAAATGATGCCTGTCGTGATGTTAGCACATATAAGGTAGTCAGTCCGTGTCCCGATGGCACAATGACGCGATATTTGAAGTGGAAACGGCAAAACCTGGCAATAAACTGATTGAACACCAGAAACATCTCTCGGGGAAAGATACGGACATATTTCAAAGGGAAACGTCGTCGTGGTGGCCCGATGGTAACGTCACCAAATTACCACCTCGGGGGACGTGTGTTCGAACCCTACCACTACCGCCTGACTTTCCCCATGGCAGCCCTTTGCTTGACCGCTTCCCCCTTCCTGAAAATTGTAGCATTGCATTTTCAATAAAAGGAAGTAAAATTCATAAAAAACAAAAATAAATTAAGCATGAACTAAAACGCTAGGAAGCACTGGACCACTTTTTCGACCTGGTTGGGTCTCATCAGCAGTGCGAATCCGTCGACCCAACTGGGGATCGAACCTGGGACTTCACAGGCAGAACGCCAGTTGGTTCGATGGATTCGCACTGCTGATGAAACCCAACCAGGTCGAGAAAGCATTGCAGTGCTTCCGAACTTTTCAGTTCACGCTTTATCCACTCTTTACACGACGAATTAACCCTTTGAAATGGACTAAAATCCTCCATTACTCACATAAGACAAGGGTATATTGCCACTGATGGCTTCAAAATCCGCGAGTCGTACATCGGAGATAGAAACAATGTTTGATTAGAACGTATTTTTACAAACGGTAGAAGAACACTTTAAACCATCCCTGGAATGCAATACAAGAAAAACGATCAGGCGCACAGCTCCCAAAACAGAACAACTTTTTTGTGAGCTGAAACTCATGTAACTTGGAGAAACGAATGTTACTTCGTCTAAAGGGCCATGAAAAGAACTTTAATTAAGATTTTTTGAGGTGTGGGACTAACACTGGTGTGATTTTCGAAAGAGGCGGTACTTCATTAGGTGGAATAGCGATCGCAACTCCGTGATGGCACGGGTTGCCTCATCAATTCCAACCGAACTGGATATACTGTGTGGAATACAGGAATGTGATGCAATATATTGGTACATTGCAGGGGCACCTTGTAGAACCAATGCATCGAATAATCACTCTGAAGCATTTCGAAGCATGATATTGTCGTAGCTCATTACTCGTATAAAAAAGCTGATTATTATTTCCCGGAATCAAAACAATGTTGTGGCCTGCGTGCAGAAGAGGCTTTAACGGAACGGAAAACGTGTGGGCTATTCTCACCCGAAAGGTACACTAACTCACGAAAATACATGAATTAGAGGCAAATTTGATTAAGGAGTGGATTAATATTGGTATATGCACGATTCGAAATCTTATACAGAGTAACGAAGTGGCTTCAATTGGTTAAGTCCATGGGGGTGCAGTACTTTTGGGAGGAAAAGTCCGGTTATCTCGACACATTTTCAATAAAATTAACAATAACTTGATGAAAGTTCGCATTCAGGCTCTTTTATTTTCAAAATGGTGATGATCGTGCATATGGGAACGGAGATAACCCAAAATTCTAGGGGCGCAATACATCCGTCGCGGGGTATATTCTCCGTGAAATATTGATTCTCTTTGTTTTTGTTTTATACCAGGAATAAAGGGACTGCATAGTTCTCCTAGATAACAGAGTCATAGGTTGGCTTTGTTCATCTTACAGTCCGTTGTTGTCCAATGACCAATGCTGCGCACTTTGATCTCTGAAGGGATGAACCGAACAATTTGCTCACTATCTAGGCTGTACCTTGTGTTACCGCGTTTCAAGAAAAAGTTGATGAACAGTCAGAATATGAAGAAAACAGTACAGTGAAGTTATCAAATAATTCTGTTTTCTTAATCACAGTAACGAATTGCATCTGATAATCGTGAGAAATATTTTGCTCACTGTCCTATAATTACCATTACTAGAAACATAATCATTTTGAGTTCAATGATGAAGAAAAATCACGCTGTTGTCTTTCCCAATTGTATAGCATGCCGGTTACTCGATCGGGGTATTGTTGCCCTGTACGGTCCTCGAAATGCAGCACTTTCCAAATCCCTATTGTCACTGGCCAATCGGTTTGGTGTTCCGTATGTAGAAACCCAATGGAATTTGTCACCCACCTCGGACACGTACTCGCTGAGCATGTATCCTAAAGCGGACACGTTTGGCGAGGGCCTGTACGAATATCTAACCCGTGTGGAGAAATGGCGTCACGTGACTATCATCCATGAACATCCAGAAAGTGAGCCTTCCAACAACAGGTCCATGATTGTAATCTTAGGCAGATTATTTATCACAGTACTTCCCTTTAACTGAATGGTATTATTCCAGATCGACTGATGTTGTCTCGTACCATGCTTTTTCAAAGTGAATTAGAGTATTTTTCTCGAAATGATAGTAATCCGTTTCCTAATGTATATCCGTTTTATTCGTGCAAGTACCTTACGGACGCGACCCTCATTTGACTACCTTGGTGTTCGAGTGCAGATTTGATGGAAATATCTTACTGATATTTCCCTAATGGCTGTGCTTTTGCGGTGTGTGCCCCATTGGCATTAGTTTGATCTTGACTCGTTCGTGTCCATCATGTATTATCACATCCAATAGAGTGCGATAAATGGAACCAGTGTTTTAATTCCAAACGGCGGTGCTCGATCGAGGATAGTCGTTTATTGCTAATTACGTTCAGGATTTCGTTAAATTTTCATTCATATAACAAAATATCTCATTTGGATTAAGTTTGCAGAATTCCCGCAAACACACAGGATATGTGACGTAATGGTTCACTAACAGATGCGCATTCTTGTGTTTACCGTACTAAATGGCAATAGTTTGTTCCAACAAGTCTTGATCTGCGTCCGCTATGTTACCAAAAAACGACAGCGACAATGATCTTTAATTCCCCTATGGTCGGGACTGTTATTGTATAGTTTTAATTTTGTACACCGGATGGGAGTGCATTGATTTCAACCAACAGTTATTCATTTGCTCTCTCCACCTCACGGGTTCAAATGATGATACATCCGAAGGGATTTCTACACAAGCTGTACCATAAACAAATAATTTGATTGAATTGATATAGAAATAATTTTAATATTGATGACATCCTGTGAATCATACCGCTTAAAACCTTTGGATACACTGTCCAGTTGTTTAACTCCTGTTGGGACTCGAAACCTGTCGCGTGAGAACACAGCTCAAGTAATAGTTAGAGCTAATATGTGAATCGTGCAGTCCAGCATGTTCCATTGCAGATACATTGCGGATCATTTATTCCCATATGGAGTTTGACTACCTGAGACATATCTACTGCTGAGCTATGCGCGCACACATACATGTATATACACAAATAGAAGAAACTGTGATAGATTTGCCTTTGATCAGGAGCGAACATCTCTAGAAAAAGTGTTTTCTATGATTGAGAACAGAATGGCAAATGTTTTGTTAGCTATTCTATATGACAACGGAACTCAAATTTGTCGTGTTAGCGGACCACATACACCAATTAAAACTGTTCTCAACTTTATTAACTACAAACGTTATCAGGAACGAGAAATTTTCGTACATTGATTGACTTGCTCATTGAGAGGATCCATTAGAAAAATAATTTAGAGTAATTGGAGTTTAAGCACACGTTGAAGGAAATAATGATGACCCTAGAAGCGAAAGCGATTGTTTAAATGGATCGTTTTAGTAGAGCTCGTTTGTTTATGAGTGTTTATTCGTCAAGCAGACACAACATATTACTCACCATTTATACGTAACCGAAAACAATTGGCCGAAAATGTACGTTTCCCATTCACTCACTTCTTGATTCCGTCAGTTGAAATTACAAATATCTTCATTATATACGTCCGTGCTTACTAGGTGAAATTTTTTCAGTCCAATCTTAAAAGTTGAAAATGAAATAGTCTTTAGTGGTGACACAGGTTTCACACAATCTGGAATTCCGAGTGAACCGGATAACTTAGAACAGGGAAGGCGAAAATGTTAAATCCATTTATTTTCGAGGTCATCAGAATGAAATCGTACCATCCTATTTCCCGTTGTCATTCCTCACAATTATGCTTCCTTACCGATTTATCTGCATTCACACCTGTATACAGATGTTTTCAGTGGTGGTATTCCTTAGCTAAGTCGATTTCTCAAGGCTATCACTGAGTAGTTAATACATTGAAGAGTTGATTAGCTATTTTTGTCTAAACGAAATTGGATTATTGTGTCACCCTGATGTGAAAACTTTATGTCGTGATACAGAGTTTATCAGTCACATTGGCTTTTTGGTTCCGAATCTGTACGATGTTTGTATTCCGCAAGTTGGATCCCGAAATGAATCGGATTATTCGAGAAAGACAACTCGTTCTGGTTTTGGTCAATAATGCGGTTATAAACACAAACCATACGGCATTTCCATCCCGAATTTATACGTCTCGTTTAAGAAGTTTTGTCCAAGAATGCACATATAAGTGCTAAGTTTTTCACCAATAAACTTGTTTCTAAAAGATACATCGCAAGACAAAATAACTCATCATTAAGTTACGGATAATCACGGAAAACCTTTGGAGAACTTCAGATGGTTATCGAACATTTTGTCTATTGCTGATGAACAATCAACCGCTGAAACCTGCCCAAATTTACCGATGGTACAAGGTGCCACACCGAACTTTGTATGATGAGGTTCATAGTGACTTAGGCTCCTCCGATTTACAAAACAACGAGAGATGAAAACCTTCGCAGCATCCTCAAAGCTTTGCCGTGATATTTTGGAATTCCTCACTTTTGAACCGAACACCACATTATTGAATAGTATTTTCACCAGCACATTGGCTTCTCCATACACATGGTTAGTTAAAATAATAACAAAGTCAAACTGATTTTTGTTTCCATGAGCTTGCATTTATTTTTCTCATTAAGTCAGGGGAAAAGTTTGTAGTGACAAAAAAAGTGATGACCTTGCCTAAATCAGAAATAAAGCAATTTTGAACTACCATGTAAATTTAATGTAGCAAATGGGTATTTATTTCGAATGCAGTTGAATAACGCCATTTTAGATATTTATGGGATAAGCCACTAGGTTGACAAGTAGCGTTGAATTCAATTTTTGCAGATAAACCTTCCTCTACTAGTCATTACTTTGCACTTTACGCTCACTCTTCACACTCAGGTTTGCTCAAATATGTCACACTAATCAACAAATTTGAGGACGGATTGAAAGTAAAATCATGGGCAGCGAATTCGGCAGCCACACGTGCCATGCTGGCTGAATTGAGTACGGGAAACGAGCGCAACTTCCTCGTGGACATTCCCACCTGGCAAGTTCGAGATTTCCTTGTCATGGTAAGTCATCATAAAGCAAAAGCAATAACAGTTCACGGAATGCATTGATTCACGGTGCTATTGTGCATGGTAAAATCCCCCCTTCCCCTCCGCAACGCAAACCAATCCTTGTGATCGATTTATCAATTGTGTCCCCCACCCCTGCCTCGTCCCGCCTCGCCCCGCCCTAACCGAACACAATCAGGATGAAACACATGCATAAATCGGGACAAGGATAACCTGGAACAGGGACATACCACGTGGTCCGATGGACCGGTGCATGTGTGCTGCTTGTGCAGGGTGCGTGTGTTGAGCGAAGAGGAAAAAAACTGAACAGGATTGAGGAAAGCCGTGTAGGAGGGTGGGCAGACGATACCTTTTAGGCTGTACTCTAAACTAAAATCCTCTCTAAGTCAAAATACAGTTCACGAGCGCATAGTTTGATCAACATTCCACAGCGGCTTCCGATGCAGCCGTGTACAGTGGGAACGACAATATTGCCGTACCGTATCTCGCACCAACTTGAAAACTAACTGAATTTGGAGAATAAAGTTGTTCTCTTTACCCGCGAGATTTTTCGTCTTATCTTTTGGTTACACTACGTAACGTGTTTGAGATGAACCAGGCATAATTCATCCCTATAGAGGTGGCGGGAAATGTGGTCACTTGAAAACATACGTAGACATACACATTGTCTGGACTAGACGAGTCAAAACCAAAAGCGACATGGAAGTGCAATTTTGGTCTGACAAGAATGTCTTTGTTTGGGAGAAATTGAACTTAACCAAGGAAGACAACGAACGCACCAAATTTAGTACGGGTCCGGGAAAGTTTATGACGGTTATGGAACCGGGCTGGCTTATTTTTATTAAAGTTCCATCGGGCCAAACGTCTCCCAGTTTGCGAAGACGGTTTTGATAACTGGAACTCCCCAAATATGAGTTTGATGTTGGACGAGCAAGGCTGCCAACTTCCGTGTAGCGTCTAAAAAAGGCCCTTTAATCTAGCATTTCCCCCTCTGTTACTAATGTAAGAGAAAACTGCGAACTAGGGTGGGCGATAGGTGAGGGAATAAGAGCAAATTGACGTGATGGTATACGTTTTCTCCTATACCAGTCAGATTTTACTGGTACAGACTACCCACATAAACGTAAGTATGAGTACATTAAAGCATATGGAAAGTTTTCGTTCCTCTGTTCCAGGGTCTGTGATTGATCCTTTGAAATAATTTAACCAAACCGCTTACGTAAAATGGGAAAATGGTTCAAACAATCAGTAATCATTGAAATTAAGTTTAGATCGAGGCTTATTAAATAGCTCAAACTTTGTTGGTAAAAGTGATCGAAACGACTACAAATAATATCTCTAAGAAAGAAAACACTTATTGTTCACATTTATAGCTAAGTCCTCACATACAACATATCAAAAAGGTGTGGGAAAATACCATTCACTAATGGAAACGTAAAGCAGATCTTTCCGTAAACCGCTTCTCGAGACCAATATAAATGTAAAACTCTAATTTGTGTGGATTTTTAAATTCGTATCACTACTTTACTTTGTTCTCAGTGTCGTTTAGTTTGCTGTGAAAAGGCTTCTTCTCTCGAACAGTCATTCTACAATCAGGCAAGCACCGGTAGCCTATAACTACACTCACTATAGTGATCAACGATGATTAAACCTAAAGAGTGTGATTTTTAACCATCCTCCTTTGATGCCTCCTTACGATAGACTGAAAAAATGTGGCAGAAGTTTCCATTGGATGACCGACACAAGAAAACCACAGATCACGCCCGATCAGAGTAAACAGAAATGAGGTGGCATAACAATAACAATAACTTTACGAAAGCGCAACAGAATAATAAAGGCCTGCTCATCGCTATATCGAATAAAAATAATAGTTTTTGTTTCTTTGATTGGATCGATAAACGTACCTTTGATTTTGAGGCTAGAAATGGTGAATACAGGTTTGATTGTAAGAGAACACAGTCAATTTGCACTTTCAGTTGGTAGTGGAAGAAAACACGACGTCTGGAGAGATGTGTTGAGCATACATGGCTTGTGTATAGCATGGACTGAGTATGAAACGTAGGCAATTCACTGAAAATAAAATCCGATCGATTGCGGCTATAGATAACAACTTTCTTCACGTTTTTAGCCAACACGCGCCCTTATGTTGGATTGTCCGAAAATACAAGTGATCGATAAACGCAAATGTCTTTGATATCACTATACAAAATAGACAAACAGTTACTATGTGGTTATTATGCTCAAAGTACATTGTTCGTGAGTTGCAATTGTTAGAAATTGAATATTCCACTCAGCTTCCATGGCGGGTTAAACAAACGCAATGCTCACCTCGATCGGTTAGAACTCCGGAAGGCTTCCAAGTAGACCGTCGATTGTGACCAAACTGTTGACTAAATTGCTTGATCAACGATATCACTCGTGCTATGATACACAAATCAAGCAGTCTCAAATAATAGTTAGTCAGAGTGGTTTGATGCATAGATGTGTGGAGAGGTTGCACAAGTGCACTGTTTAAAGTGGTGGAATAATTGGTCACCCAAATTAGCGGTTCATTTAAATACATATCCACGAGTGAAGCACTTAACGTGGTACAGTGTACTATACCAAAAGGGTCATTGCATATTGGCTGACCTCTGTGGCGACTGACTGTAGACAGTTGGTCATCGTGGGTCTCACGATATAAGCCAAATCACGAAATATGATCAAAAACATAAAATGTAGGCGAACATGTTTTGAGTTAGTTCCTTTTGAAACCTTTGCAATCACATTTATGTAAAATAATTTCAGTAGAGTCAGACAGAAAAGGGATGAGTCATGCGTTTAGTAATGAGGGGACAAATGCTGCCATCACTGACGGCACACATGTCCATTTATTTCGATTCGTTGTGAAAATATCAGCGGAAACTATCGAAGGACACTCAGGTACACGTATTTTATAACATGCAGAACTGAAATTCTTTATGAGAACACTAAAATTATAACTATCTGTTCTAAATCAGTAATATTTTGTAGTGTTGGGAACAGAATGAGTGATATTCCTTTCGTGGACAATAATTCAAGATCCCCTACTGCTTTCATGCACCTTGATACAATCAGGAGATAAAACAAACAACAGTTGTGAATATTTCCGTCATTAAATTTCGTAAAATGCTTTTTCTGCTGCTTTAATTCAAAACGATGAGATAGAAAGAAGGCGAGATTGTATCTCGCATCAAGCAAAGGAATGGAGGTTTAATATAAATTGAATTCAATATTATCTCATCCAATACAACTGTTGGGAATTTCCTAACTTTAGGTCATTGAATATTTGATCTGCGATAATTGAAATTGCCAAGGAGTGCTAATTGAACCAATTTAATTCATTTTCAAAAATGTTATTCCAAATACTTTTAAAATATGTTTCAATTTTGAGAAGGTCAATAGCCTCGGTGGGATTCAAACCCATTCATGAACACCGCCTGCTCTTTTGTAAAACACAAGCAGTTTCAGCTGAGCAACGGGACCACAACGGTATTATTCATCTTCACCTCTGGAACCTAGTACAGCATGAGCTATACAAAAGGGAAGACTGTGTTGATGCTTAGGTTCCCCCCGGAAACCGCCGATATGTTCACAGGGAAAACACGATAATGTTGTCGCCTGCAGTCTGCCAAACAACTTTGTGGCAGATTGTGTTTTGTAAAAGTAAGGATGAATCTACCATCTTATGCCGAAATACAAATTCTTACGGGTTGCCGCACTGACGTCGCAGTCGTTTATGGAGTACATGGATTACCGCGATGATAAACAAGTAGGCCAGATAAAAATTCACTGAGTCCAACACTTAGGAGTAGATTGTCAGAAACTGTACAGGGGACCGAATATATGACAAAATATTCCGTTCTGCTAAAAATTAATTTTTCAGTCGAAGCCCAGTTCATTGTAACTTACTGAAACGAATTAATCAGTTATAATTTGGCCTGCAGGAAGGAGTGAGTGTTATTGGAATTTTGGTACAGTTTTTCCATCCTGAACGACATCTGGTGCTACGGCGAGACGGAATACAATCGCCTTCGAGTCACTTTCTCTCGTGTCCCCGTCAAGCACCTGGTTTTTGGTCAGAATAGTCGACACCTGTATGACGACCCAGTTGAATTTTGATGCATCCGTGCGACAGATACACACACACACACTTGAAGGATTATAACTGACATGACCAAAACAACACTGACTGAATTGGGCGAGACACAATTTGTCGATTAGTAGGCCAATACAATGCGTATTTTTGATCTGTTTCACTGTAAACAGAAATACACTCCATGTAAAAAGAGAAAGTTCGCAACACAACAATAATGGTATAATAAGTCAATAAAGTTTGAAACATGTATGATGAATATTCACACTGTAACCAATGGAAGATTTTTTAAACGAATAAACTATGGTACAGTGGATTGAAACTTCTCATTATCTCAAATGCTTTATTTTGCTTTTCGTTGCAGGCATACGCGCACAATATGACGGGATCTCAATACTCGTATTTCTTCTCTGATTGGGTGAGTCATTCAATTGATGCTTTAACTCGAGTTCCGATTAAATCCACTCACCTGGTAATCATTCCCTAGGTGGACCGTCAAATGCAATTCCCTTCTGACATTTGTGGATATAATGGAAAGCAGAAAGTACGGCGTATTGCACGACAAACCAAACTCTTTTGTACGCACTTGAAAAATGAAGAATCCGTAGGAGATATCCGCAAAGGAATGAGTGGCTTTTATAACATTTGAAGGACGGTATTTAGTGTATATGAGTCATGGACTTCCAGCAGTATTTTGGAATATCTGAGCAACTAAGACTTTTTCTCTCACTATTGTTTACTCAAAACCGGTTACGTCAGTATGAAACCATTAGCTGAAGATCGAAAGCGAATAGCGAACTTCACAAAAATATTATCGTAAAAGCACACGAGACGTGAGTAAAATGGTCAACTTTATTCGAATACGCAATCGAATTGGTTGCGCTGTTTTCAATTTCTACCAACTTTGTCAGATTGTAGGTTCAAGGTTGAATGAGGCTGTGGGAAACACAAAAACACCACACACAACGCACGGTGCCTGTGACATTCTTTATGCTTATGGGTACATAACATTGTAACTCTAGGTGTTGGATTTGAATGGTAAGCATACCTGTTGATTGCAGTTGGTAACCTCACTGGGACATTGTGATATTTCACTGCGCTGAAGAGAGGAGGACATTTCTAGTGGTATTTTCTAGGATTAAGCGGCGTGTCAGACTGGTGACTGCAAGACTCCTAAATAGTTCGGCGGTAAAAAACATAAACCTGGACAAATTAGAAAGGCAAAGTAATTTTTCTCTTTAAATTTTATGGCTAATGCGTTTGTGCACAAAACGTTTGATAAGCTGATTATGAGCAATGAAGTCACAAAGAATCTAAAAATGTGTGAAACGTCTACGGTAAGGTGGCAATGAGAAACGAGCGTGAAAACGAGAATAGAAGAATTTCAGTGAATGCATGTGGAGAGGGGAGCGGGGACGGGGGTTAGCAACGGGATAGATGCTCTTCACGAGGAACCACGCCACAGACATCTTCTCTGGTCACAATCACAATAGGGTATGAGTCAGGTGACGTTACATGCAAAACTCCAATTTCATGACACCAGTTGTTACAAACATTGCAGTTGTCAGAACCATACTATATAACCACGTGTTATGGGTCTTGGGTTGTGGTGAAACATGCGATCGTTGTATTTCAGTCAGTAGTATGTCCGATTTCGACTAGGCGTTGATTGGGTCGCTCAACTTCCTCATGGTTCATTATGGAAGAGCAGCTAGAAAATATTCAGTAATCCACTCAGAGGAACGGTTGGAAGACGTACATTTGTATTATTCAGCGTATAAATTTAAATCACCCTTGGCACCGAATATCAATGATTGTATAATCATCACATGGGTCTTCCCAAGATGGAGTGCGATCTCTCCCCCATTCGAGCCACCAAAGCGTCCCAGTTCCAACTGATTTACTGGTGGAAAGCCGTAAAATGGAACATTTTCACGGGGCTAACAAAGTTGGCTGCTCCTGTCGACTTTTTCTAAAAGGAAACCATCCTTTTGGACCAGATGTTTTGATAGAAATAACTTGTAATTCGAAATTTTCATGCTGTAAACACATACTGGTAATAAAGCTCGTGTAGTCACTGAAAAACAGTGCACTTATACTTTGTTTGAAAGGTCATTTGCTTAGATTGCCTGATTTGTTCTGAAATGTATAATTCACATCAAATAAAGTGGTTTGCGAATGGAAGAAAGTTTGAGGCAGACCACTGTTGATTTTCTAATTACCTTGACAGTCTTTATGGACTTCACGTTAAATAGATATGTACTCGAAATTGCTCGAAATGGGGAATATTTATATCCACAGTAGCAAAGGCCATAAACACGTGTTCCTAGATGTACCGTCAGATGTTGACTACCCCGGTCTAACCCTAAAACGAATATGCACTGTATACCTTTTCCGGGCCGCTGATTCTTAGTGAATCGCTAGCTCTCTCCTAGTCGTAAACTTTGGGATGTATACACCAATGTTTCTCAAGAATGTTTTTTCTTTCTTCTTAAGTCATTTGTTTTTTTTAGAATTTACATCCCCCGCTTTGTTAGAGGCATAATTTATCGTAGAAAAAAAACTGAATACTTAGGACAGGAACTACCGTAGTAAAGGGTGTTGTACGGTTAATCAATCGATTCGGATTGTTGGAATATAGCAGCCCGATTGTCTGTGAAAAGGATGCTGGGGATGATGAAAATCGGTAACCGGATGTCACTTTGTGTAAACATACATTATTCGACCACATGGTCGAGCAAAACACTGACGAATGATAAGGATGCCACCTAGTTCAAATGTCCACTGAACAAATAATTCGTTCAGACTGATCAAAAATGTCCCCCATTTGTTATCTTTAGCAAATGGACTTGATCACGTCGACTGAAGTGGATGCAAAAATAAGTTTGTTCTTTTATGTTTCTGAAAACCGTTTTATGCAACAACTGGACAGAAATCGTACACAATTCTTGCGTTTTTGCTCTTTTGAATAGATGTTAGTGCAGCACTAGCCAAATAAAAGCAGATGCGCCAAATGAGAGATGGTGACAAATGCAATCAATTTAGAAACGGTGGCAGAGAGAGAAAGTTGCTGATATTTCCTACGAGATAACATACCCAAAGTGCGAACGATTAATGGATAGCCTGAGGTTATGTGATACGAGAAAAAAACAATTCCGAACTATATGATACAAGTGAAAAGAAATAATAAAGAACAAGCAAGCGTTATTTCGGCTCGAAAGGTTTCGTTTTTTGCATGAGTCCTCTATCTGAGTGATATACAAATGGTGTTTGTCTCGTCATTTTTTATGAAATGAAAGCACACATTGCATTTTTATAATGGGCCTACGATTTGATGAAATGCTTGGTCAACTTACATTCGCATTCAAATTACTGAAAGCTAATAACAGAACTGTAAAAATTTATGCTATGTATATATCACATTGAACTGCTACTTTTTATCTACTGAACAAACAATGTCTCATTATTTTGGCGACTTTTCTGTCACAACACGGCCGCCAACCAACCCGTTCTTCCAAGTTTTCAAAGAATTGACTTCTGATTTCCGATTCAAATTAATCAGTTATATCCACCCTGTGGAACTGGATCAATCACTCACTGACACACGTGCACGCGCACAGAAGCACACAAACTCACGTATTTCCGGGTTCCAATTCCATTTTCCAGGATGTAAATTTCATGGACTTGAGCGCGTTCAAAGTGACCATGGGCGCCCAAATCAAAACGTTCTCAATTTTGTCAAAAATTGGCATGACCGAGTCTCTACAGCGCAGCTTACTTAGTTCCTGGCAAACGGACGCACCCGGTTCCTCCAGAACCACCGGTCAACCTATGAATCGTCCCATACTGGGACTTGGACCAGAGATGAACGTGAGTGGCCTTATTTATTGTCAGAAATGGCATGGTCCATGAGTTTTACATACGAATTTATCTCCGGAGTTCAATGTGTCAAGGTTCGAAAGAGTAATTTCTTACCATATCGATTCAGATCGCCGCTGTTCTAGAGAATTGTGAGGTGCAAAGCAAAGTGCAATAATTCTCTGATAATTGCCTTATATTCTGTATGATTTCATTTCCGCCTAGCACCGAAGGTAAGCTGAAACAGTGATCACGCTCGCGGCATCTGTCAGCTGTTCATAATGCTGCAGTACGAGCAATTGATTATTACGTAAGAATCGTGAATGAAAACTGTTAAACGTAGAAGCTCGACTGTTCAATATATTATTAAATGTCGTTACCAAGAGATAGTCAGTTAAATTTTCCTTTAAATAAATGAAAATTCTTGGTCATTTAGCGCATGAGAGTTGAGCGAAAAAGAATACGATTTCTTCTCTGATTAATGTACCGTTTTTCAAACCCTTTAGGAAATACAACAGTTTTTGAAAATGGGAATGATGAATTTTCACCGTGAAGAGCACCGTTACTTGTATCTCTCTCTTCGTTATCTAGACACATTTTGGGTTGCTCTATGACAGCATTCTCCTACTGGCCCACGGTCTTGTCACCGTGACAAAAACAAGATCGTTATTGCCTCAAAAACTCAGTTGTGAACGTCCACCGGGTCTTTGGCCACTTGGATTGAGTCTCATCAATGCTATGAAATCGGTGAGTGATCGCAATCCGCCATTTACCCCACAACCAATGGATTTATTTTTTCATATATTGTCTTCACCTACTTCTGATGATAAAAAGTAGTATCAGGTTGTTGTTGAAGGTTTACAATGTTAAAAGGAAATTTCTATCAGATTTCAGTTCTCAACCCAACCAGTTGATACAATGAAAAAAGTCAATTGATTCATGCTGCGGTACTTGGGACGGCTAAAATAACCCAGATCATTTTTCATACAGGGCATTTGATTTATAAACTGAATTCTCCAGTATTCAGTTCACATCCATGACCGTAAACTATTTAAAAAAGGGAAAAGATGAAATTAATACCGAATGTTCAACGGTTTGTGGATGCAAATGCTTTGCTGGTAGAAACGGCTGATTTTCTATGGGAATAGATGAAAACATCGAAAATACTTGTGATATGTCGGAAGGAATTAGCACGTCGAACTTGCATTTCCTTTCAATAGATATATTTATTTAAAAAAACGATAGGGTCACCCACCATATATAGCCCTAAGTTTCATTAAATACTAGTATATCCTTGGCAAAACTGGGACTTGGGCAGATCAAAATAGAAAGAAACAAACATGCTGAAATGGTACAGATGCGTACATCAGAGAACAACACAAATAGGAGTGGTATGCATCTCCGTTTGCATCGATGAACTGCTGAATTGGTGAGAGAATGGGTCAGTCAAACGGGGAATTGTTCTAAGTAAAACATGAAACGGACATGTTTTTATCCTGCTCCGCCGAAAACGAAACCCAATTTGCCTAATTACTGTCAAGGTTCAAAACACACGCCTAGAAGGTAGCTGGGACAGCGAGTGCAAACTCGTTTGCTAAATCATGCAAATTAACTCATAGAACTGTGCGCCCCATTCTAGCTAATGCATAGTGTACATGCATGATAACAGAAGAATTATTTCGAAGAAAAGGTTCATCAATTGAGCCACGCAATGTGAACGCCTAACCCACTGACTGACGACTGCTATCAACTTCCCGACGATCAAAGTAATATATGATCTCGATTAGATGAATTGTTTTAATGCAATTAAAAGATGAACTGTTCAAGCCAACATCTTTAAGTTCAATCTACTCCTTTGAATGTATCTGTGGTACAACTCAACTAGCATGTACGGGCAGGCGTTTGCTTCAATACTAGTGCTCCCCTTAAAAGTCAAACACATTTTGACCTGCCCTGTTATGAATCGGTCATATTTCTCGAGACCGACATGTACATGCCCTCACCCTGAAATAAAACTTCATAAATTTGCCAGCTGTGCAATGCAAGAACAACTGTCACATGACACTTTGTCGATGGGTCATGATATCAGAAAATAACGTGATTTGAGATGGCTTACTGATGGAAATATGAGCATCATTTCAACCCACAGTCAATTGCTTGATAGCGGCTGTAGGATCGACCCGGCGAATAGTTGATTGGCGACAGGCAGGAAGAATGCGGAATTTAGTTGCTGTTATCCGATTGCTAACCCTCGACCTATGGGCGCTGAAACATCTGGTCCAGGTGGGGAATCGAACAGAGGTTCAAGTGGGCCCGGGTGATTTTGCATGAACGAATCATCGGGATGGTGTCACAGATCCCACCTGGTGATCACTGTTCACCAACCCAAATGCGGTTCTGAACAATGCCTGTTCCTACCCACCGGATAACGGACTCTTATACCAGCCCAGGGCGGAAACGTTAATCCTGTCTCGTCATACACACTCCACAACATAATTATTGCACCCGCTAGAATTTTGGAGTAGCTCTGCTCCTATATGCATGATCATCACCATTTTTGATAATCTCAAAGGCCACCTGGTGAAAAGCCGAAACATTAAATTTCATTGGATTGTGTTTAATTTTAACGAAAATTCGTCACAAGCCATCACTGTCACAGCAACAAACGTATTGCACCACCATGGCAACTGGAACCTTGTAGTGAGTGAGTGATCAGCGGGCTAATGTGAGCTACGAGCATGCGAAAACCTGGTCACAATGGCCAACTGCTCCTATTACTTTCAGTGACCTCGAGGGAACAAAGCCATCCAAGTCGATCGCTACACCCTGTTATCAACTCTGGCTCGTTGGAAGAAGCGTAAAGATTACGCGAAGTACAGAACCGATGGTTTTCGTAAGGTTAGTGCCAGCACACCCGAGATAACCCGACGAAGTAATAGTTCATGATCCAGTCTAACACATCGTGGGAAGCGGAAACAGCTTCGAAACGGTAAGAAAAATTCTCGAAGACAAGCGCAGGTTGACAGTATTGGCCTTAAACTTCCTGAGTCCGGAGCATTGGAGGTATATGGCTCTAACAGTTTGCTCACAAAAACGTTTGATCCTGGGCTCTAATTTATCCAACGAGTGAAATTTCGTCTACTTGAGCGACGAAAATGATTTTGATTTACACGAACTAGATGCGTGGAACGATTGCTAGCATGATTTGCGGAAAGAAGAGCGGTAGTTCAGTAAGTAAACATCTTTGATCGGAAATCCGTGATGTTTTGGGAGTGTATTCGCCAGTAACCGCCCAACGGAATGCTTCTTGCTAAGTAGGATGCCGGATTCTGATTTATATGTCCATACCTTAGAACCGCAGCTTATCCCAGAAACAGTATCAAATGATAATAACACGAGATTCATGGATGGAACGGATCTCACTGAAAACTTTGGTTGGCTGGTTAATCACCAACGCCTTTGTGTTTTGGTTTTCATTCGTCGTGGCTGAGACAAGCTAATTTCCTCAAGTATCAAATGATCATAAGGAAGCCGTTTGGCAGCATGATATCGCCACGATTCATAAACTGTATGTAAAATATGCTGGTTATAATTTTTTGATATCCAAACATTGGTGTGGCCTTCGTGCAGCCCACATTTGAACCAAACAGCAAATATTTGGATTATTCCAATCCGAAAGGTGAATTGAAATGCATGAATTTGCATCATAAATCTCGGATCAGTGTCAGTTTTGGTTATGGAGTTGGATAATATCAACGGAGTTATTATTCGTAATTCTCAGTAAATTATGTGGAGAAAGTGTGTAGACTTTTTATAACGGTATGGCCAATTCACTGGGTGTGAAGCTGGCATCAATGGGAAGAGTCCATGGTAATGCAGTACTTCTGATGAGGCAAAATGTTTTTTCCATATATTATCGGTTAACTTAAAGATAATCTGATGAAATTTCGTAATTTGGCAGTTCACATGGTGGCCATCTAGATTATCAAAAATGATTATAGTGCATGCAGGAGCGGAGATACTTTAAAAGTAGAGGAGGTGCAGCAATTGTGTGATAATAACAGACGCGGTTGACCTCATGGTAGGGAAGACCTGCAGTTCAGTGATGTTAACTGGCAAAATACGCCCCGGGACCTGAAGTGGTGAACCACATAGTTCTCCGATAGGTTAGGCGTCCTATTGAGTTGGACAAAGCTGCAAAGCTGCCTACCACAAATGAGCGGAAAACATTGTGAAACCGGATTGAAATTTCCAAGTATCAGAACTTCACATTCGAGACGAAATTCTTAAAAAAGCAGTCAGCGTCTAGCTCATTGTGGTCAGCAAAATTAGCTCGTTTCAGGCGCAAGGAACAAAAATGAAACACGAATAAGTGCGGATATAGTTTCGGCCCTCTGTGGGGAAGTTCCTTAAGAGACTTCATCGGTTAAACTGAAGTTATAAGCGATCATAGAGCAATCGGAGAACTCTGATGGGATTGTGTGTGTGTATGTGTGTGTGTGAGATCGTTCGACTTATTTGCTCAAGTCTAGTTTGTGATTGAACATTAGGGAAGGGGGTGTAATTATTGTGTGTACAAATGACATTTATGAGTGAACATTCGAATCAGTTGGTTGGGAGTTAATCAAACGTGCATCAACTAATACACCATTTGGGATATCTGAGTTATTGAAGCTCACATAGTGTATTGCTCACATTGCCCTGGCAGCAACAACTGAATTGCGTTCCGACCGTTTTAATGATGTTACTCTCTCCACCCCGCTGACTTGCGTCAGGAGCTATTCGATACAAAGTATTCTATACAAATTTATTGCGGTATCAGGTATATAAACATAAATAGTTCTACAATTACAGAACTCTTTGCAGGCCCCTGAAATCGCTTAGCTTTACCTGTAAACGCCTGAGGCGAGTTGTGGAAAACACAGCTTTTTCATCCTATGTTTTTCGATTAAGAGTCATACCAACTGACTCGATGAACCTTATCCCATGTGGTATTAAGAGTACACTACATCTCCCCAATCACAGCGAATGAACAGCCGAACTCTTGAATTAAGCCACGAATCGCGGCCTCATTTACGAAAAAGCCGAATAGAAAATAAACTGAAAATTCATTCTATTGGGTGTATAAAGCTTTACTTTACTACTAAAAGAGCGATGCATGTTGAAATTCGTAGTCAAATAAAATGATTCACAGCCATGTCAGTCGTGTAACCTTGATCCTTTTATTGAAAAAGAAATTCCCACACGCCTGAGTTCAGGTTGTGTGCCAATAATAACATTTTACATATTCACTGATTGTTTTCGGCATTGATTTTTTCCAGACCCGGCCAGAGTTGGTTCGTGGCTACACCGGGCAGTTTCGATTTGATCGGGAGGGTCTACGGACTCTATTTGATATAACCACGCTAGACCTGACCGAGGGAGGGTTTGTTCCGGTAAGCACATGATTTTTTTCACTATCGGTCGTTCATCAAGGAAGTTCAGTGGAAAAATTTGTCATGTCCATGACTTTCTAAAATCATTGATCACTAAATAATTCCTTGTGGCTCTGAGAACCTCGAGGGAAGATTGGATGTTAACAGAACTCCTATTGGTTGTGTTTTTCACTGGATCTTTCCCAGTGCTAGTTTTTTCCAGCCGAAGATGTGTTCCATCGATGTAACTGCCATTGAACTAGACAGCAGCTTGAGCCCAACTGGCACTTGTACTTTTCGAACAATTATGGAGGTTTAAACCTTTGGTCATTTGGATTAGTATGTAGGATCAGTTTGGACTGGAGTTCACACGGTAATTTGTGTTGGTGAATAAGCAATCACCTTCAAAAGGCACAAATATTTTGTTTAGCGTTTGTTGCCCAAACAGGTTCTATCGAAGTCTTTGGCTTACACTGTGGTTCCAAATGTAGACCGGCCAATAGCTTCCTAATTCCACAGTGCACTGTCAAAGATTGAGCTTAGTCTCAAGTTCTCTCTCGTGTGATACATTTGACATGATATAATTTTCGCCCTAACTGATCATTGTTCAAATTTTCTCTTTAAGCACTATTCCAAGTTTATCCACTTGAAGATACATATACCTGAACCTGCTAGGAGGACATAAACTGATGGGAGAGTTCAATTCTATTTAACGGTTTGCATACTGTGTATCGGTTTTCGGGGTTTTGGAGCAACTACTGACAAACGTTCGTTGAGAAAGACAAGTGAACAAAATTTGAATCCTTGTCAGCTCCCCCTGCATGTGAGCTGGTTGGTGCAGTTCTGACGCACACACGATTTCCATTCGATGGACCCAAGTTGAAATGACACCACCACTAGTTATGAGCTTTAATGCGCAAAGCTCGAACTGATTGCTTCACGACCACATAGTTGGTTGGAATGTGCATGAAGATGAAGCCTTAAGAGTATTCATTCAAAGTAATAGTCACGTATGTCACACTACTCACAGATAATTAGAAGTGGAAAATGAACCATCACGAAACAATCGTAGTAATGGTTCTTCGAGTTTGGCTCGTATAGAGATAACTCCCCGAAATGTGTTCATATAAATGCATGCATGCTTAACGCAGAGAATATTCTATATTCTAATGAAAACCAACAAATCTAAAAGATCAGTGAGGACCATGATAGAGTTACAAACTCAACAATTATGAGAGCATTCACAGTGAACAAAGAATGCAAACATTCCTCTCAGGTTTGTTAATTGGTTCCATCTTCCATTCTTCTTTCTCCAGACGGGAATTTGGAATGTGGATGAACAAATGAAAATTGTGACCAGACCACCAAAGAAGTTGCCTCACAAACTGGCTAAAGACACACCAACAGTACTCAAAGTTACAACAAAACAAGTAGGTCTGACACCAGGCTGTTTTATTTTATGATTAAAAAATTAAATACCGTATATGTTTTTGGTCAGCGCATCTAATGCAAAAATTCTAACTAAGCTATACATCCGCTGTTCGTTTAGCATGTTTGATTAAATCAAATGTGGTTAACTAGCACGAGATAAACTCGAAATATTTCCTCAAAATTCATTTCGATTGGAATTTGATAGGTTCATTATTTCGTGTTTTCACTCATGGAAGTAAAACCTTTTCCTTGTTTGGACCACAGCGCTTTGTTATACGGCTCATACTGACAGCTTTGATCATCTCGAGTGGTTTCATATTCATTGCGCTCAACTTAGGGCATATGCATTGCGAATCTTGGGATTTTCTCCCTCATCCGGGTAATTTGCGCAGTGAATGGAGGATATCAAAATGGAGGAGTTGCTCAGATCTCATCTTACACAGACTGAAATGAACATTGAATAGGCATTTTTCAATTGATCAATTCAATTGATCTTCCTGTTTTAGGCAGCTCGTTCGGGGAGAAACCTTAGTTTACTCTATCCCGCTGGGGTGAAGGGAGAGAGAACCTGTGAAATGCCATTTTAACTCATTCACTTTAAAATAATTCACCTGATTGTGAACTTCCAACTCTCCTGTGTATCTATTACTTTCTACTGCATAATCATACGGGTGCATTTCAACTGTCACATTCTATTCTTTCCGAACCTGCTCTGTCCGGGATCACACTATTATCAGGGGTTCTAAAAGTTCCGCTAAGAGTTTAGCACGGGTATTTTCCCTAAAACACTGGAAATCACATATGCGATATTCTTNCACCTCTAGGGTAAATCGATTTTTGATGTATGATAACTGTTTATCTATTATCCTCCACTAATAAACATTCTGGAGATGATTATTAAAACAACCATTTATTATTGCCATAAATTTAATTTATTTTTTATTTACGATTAAAATGCCATTCAGGATCCTCCATTTATGATCATAAAAAAGAAGGATGCCTATGGCAAACCGTTGATCACTCCAGACGCGTGGCAAGGATACTGTATCGATTTACTGGATGAAATATCTAAGAAGGTGGGCTTCAATTACACGGTACACTTGACGCCGGATGGGAATTACGGATCCAGCACCATTTTACCCAATGGAACGGAAATTTACGATGGCATTATGGGTGAACTCATTCGACGGGTAATGTTTATGGGACTTTGAATAAATGATAGTGGTAAAAAATACTTTGATTTTGTTCGTACATGTGACTGCTACAATGTTTCCTCAGAATATCCTAATTCAAGGAGTTTTATCAAACAGATCATGAAATATTTCAAACATTGGACATTAACTCTTTTTATTGAAAATAAGAATTCCAAATAGATAACCCTTTTCAGCTATGTAACCTCGACTATGGTTTTGTCGGTGAAAATGAATTCCATCCAATCAGCGGTATGCTTATTTATCATGAGGTTTTTATTCATTTGAGTTGAAGTGCATTCAACAGAGCATCCACTTTATTAAAAACAAAGTTGTATCGCATTGTTTTGAATAAAACAAGCAAACGTTGCGCACGATTCATCCAAAGTGTCACAAAACAATTAAGATCGAATTGATCCGAGTATATGCGGAAAATGTCATGCTTTCTCAACTTGCACACTCGCATAACACGTGTTTCTACATGTACTCTGTTTACAGGAAGTTGACATGGCTGTAGCCGCTTTTACGATCACCTACGAACGGGAAAAACTGGTCGATTTCAGCACTCCATGGATGACCATTGGCGGAAGTATCATGTTCACGCGACCAAAGAGTCAAAAGCCGTCACTGTTCTCATTTTTGCAACCTCTGGCGCCTCAAGTACGGATTTTTTGTGTTGATTTGTTTTTCGGACGTATCTAACGTTTCTTACTTACCTTTCAAGTGGATTGGCGTCACAGAAAAGTCATTTTGCATAAAAGTGGTTTCATCGATCGATCGATCGATGGATAGATAGATAGATAGATAGATAGATAGATAGATAGATGAATGGATGGATAGAGCAGATCTCATTACGATTATGATCTATCCTTCAAGGCAGATGAACATAATTCAGGTGAATGAAATTCATTTTCACAGTTGTTTTGTCCGACCAATTATTTTTCCCCACCGTTTCTCTTTTAACCCCCCCCTCCCCTTCCTCATGCGTAGGTGTGGTTTTACGTTTTGGCGATATATTTTGCGGTTTGCGTCTGCATGTTTATCGCCTCACGGCTGTCGCCATACGAATGGAATGCTCCACATGCATGTGAAGATGGCGGTGACATGACCAAAAACCAATTCACTTTGCTAAACAGTTTCTACTACAACATCTCCGCTTTGCTCAATCAAGGTAAATGTGCACTAATTTTGATTGGAGTGAGCCAGCTCACAGCTCTTAAATCGAATGCCACCCAACACAAGGCATACTTTGATATCCTCCATAATGATAAATGCCATGATTTTCAACGTTTGCAGGAACTGAACTGGCTCCTCAGGCAACATCGACACGGCTCCTAACCGGCGTATGGTGGTTCTTTGCTCTCATCATTATCGCCACCTATACGGCCAATTTGGCTGCCTTCCTCACAGTTGAGAATACCAAATCACCCATTGAGAGTGCCGAGGATTTAGCGAACCAAGATAAGATCAAATACGGCACCATATCCAGCGGATCCAGTCGGGACTTTTTCAAGGTCAGTTGTACCTCATCCGGGGTCTTCCTAATCAATTTCACAAGTGTATTTTGAATGCATTATACTTTTGAGTTACGAAATCTATCGGGATGTATATGGTCGAATGTTCGAATTTTCCTAATATTATTTCAGCTGACAGTTTGGACTCAGTTTTCCTCGTTTTTTCTGTTTCCAAGGCGGTCATTGATTATGGAAAATCCCATAAAGTGCCTGAAGAACCAATAGTTTAGTCAACTCCATGTGTGAGAAGAGTAGAAGGTTCGGTCACTACTTCACAATAATTGATATTATAAAATATTGTATTTTGCACCGGGATCAATAACTTGTCAATCGTAGAAAGCGATAAATTCCACGATGAAACGTTTAAGGGACGATTCATTGAGTAGACTTTTGAGAAATACGAAGCTCAGGACATTTGTAAGGTTCTACTGTTTTGTGTCACAAGTAAGCGACCAAAGTTCAAACTTGTAACCATGCTAACTGCAAACATTGTTAGATTAACCCATGCTAATTCACAGATACCAGGTGGTATGATTTTATTGTGTGGGTCTGATTCCTCTGAATTTCGTTAGTCTTTTCCCTACTCTGAAAACTTCGTCTACTAATGAAATCTATACTCTGATTTTTTAGAATTCATCAAATAAACTACAAATGTATAAAATAAATTATTCTTTTTTTATTTTCGTTCATATGGCATGTCACATGTAATCTTAAGTGTCCAACGAAGGAGCCTTTGGAACACTAGCGGATGCTATTTTGTAAATGGTTTGAGGATAGAGAAGGGATTGAGTGGCATTCTCCCCTTCCAAATGCCCCCGCCGCGCTTCAAGCCGTTGACTTTGCATGATATGAGAGCATAGTAACACAGTTAAAGCACTGTTCTCTATGTGTACCACCAAATGGAATCTGGTTCTCTGACGTGAAACTTACTGAACTTAAGAAACTCGGGAAATAACGGGGAATAAATAAACGTAATCGGTTAATGGTGCCTTAAGAGTGGCGACCGCCTGTACATGTGAATTAGGAACGAATACTTTATAACAATCTGGTATTTGAAAGTCATGTTACCTGCCGGATGTGCGTGGGTGAACCCACGTGACTTATACTGTGCTTAAACTTGACTGCGCAACTTGATGACCCACGTGAGAGGATGCACAAAACACACGAATATTAACCAGTCTGAACCTGGACTGGAACTCCAAACGAGCAGAATATTCCCAGTTGAATAGATTGACTGAAAATCTATGAGAGGGGGAAAAGCGAACACGGTGAATCCAGTGAGGCATAAACGTCAATCACACACCAACTCAATGGCAAGTTGCCAAGGCTGTACCAGAACATGGACGAATAGGTAGTGGGCTGGTTACACAGATCATGAAAAGATTCATAAAATAGAAATGAAAGAGAATGGTTCGTCAACATAGGGCTCATGAAACATTATGAGTGAGTAACACCATGAAATAACGTGAAAAATTTGGAAGCAACTGATGACGGAAAAACGGAGGAACTGCCAATCAAATTTCTTGTGTTACCAACAACAAATTTGAGTTGTTTGCGAGGATACATCCAATTTTAAAAGTAGAATGAGTCAGCATGTTTTCTGTCAGATTTACTTACATCAGTCAGCGTGGTTCCCTTTGGAAGCCAGTAGGTTTGATAGAACATTTAGGCATTTCGGTGCTTGAACACTACCCAACTAAGCGAAAATATTATTTTAGTGCTTCTTAGCTTTTCATTTGACGTCTCATTGGCTCTGTACACGGCGAAATTCCCTATATAATCGAATACTGTCCTCCAACACCATCACATAAGGTCGAAACAGTTATAGGGTGCTCTTTGCTGGCCATTACACAATGATTTCCATTGTAAATGATTTTGACCAGCAAAGTTATTCGCGAAACATGTACAACACGAAAACACGGTGCATATTATCGACGGTGGACACTCTATGATTTCATCATTAGGTAAACACAGCACAAGTTATTACCACAAAAGGGACACATACAAAAATGCTGAATGAAAAAAAGACAAATTGGGTCCCGCGGACGACATGCATAATCTAACAGAGTGAGAAGGCAGGCACTGACACGAAGTACACTTACACAGTGCGGGGCACGTACCTCGATGGTCACGGAAGTCATCTAACCATAAAGGCACGATCACAGCGGAGAATGTACGCCACAACCAACAAAAGCCTTCTTCCAGCCAAGGAAGTGAGAACACAGGCAACAAGCAACAAAGGCGTACTTGACAGAAGAAAACCAACTCGGAATAACAGGGCAGACTTGTTTGCTTATATACCGTTGCGGTCTCTGAGCGGAGTCAATGTGCAAAGGGGGAAATTCACAGAAGTGACTAATCAACGTCCAGAAATGTTAGCAAACTGAAGGGTCCAAATAGATACGAAAACGCTTTAGGTCGATATAAAAGGGACCAAACGCATGCAGGTTGATGGCGTGACAATGGGCAGTTCATTGAGCTCCATGTTCGCAGATGTGTTTCTAGAAATGATTGGGGAAACCTAAGTGATAATGTTTCCAAGTTCACCCCGAATAAATGTTATGTGGACGATATGGTTCCTCTTACAAATGATGAAGATGTTAAAACGCTTTTACAACATCTCATAAAACAAGACACACAGTTGACCCCAAATTTTCTTTCAAATCACTATTAAGTAATCACCATGCCAAACTTTTGGCAATTAGTGAAGCATTGCTGATTCGATTACATTACTGGAACTTATGCACACAAAAGTTTTTGATACAATCATCCCACTTACCGTGGAAGTGACCTTCTACTTCTGCATTTAGTAATCTTTGTATGAAATTGATCACAGTGTCAAGTGATTGCATACGTGTTGGAGTGAGCCAGGGGAGATTAAGTGCTTGCACGAATTCCTTCTGAGCGCACAACGGGCTGTTGTGAATCCGAATACTTACAACTTCGGCCTTGGCTACGATGCTTCACTATTCTTGATTGCCTACATCGAACAAGGTGAATCGATCGGAAAGCCGTTGTTGCATCCACCTAGTGATTTAACTCAACAAAATTGTTTTAATTGTTCCTATCCTCAGCTAGGCCGGGTGGTGTTCGCCAAGGCGATCAGATAAGCACCTGGTCGTGCGGCCCAGTAACACAGGACCAAGTGAATGAGCGTACACAGAACGAGGCTGCAGAATCTAGTACCCTGTCCTTCGGTGAAAAACATAAAGGGTTTAGAGGTGAATACTTATTTTAATTGTGCAGCATAAAATGTTCTGCTGACTGAAATTGTGAGCTTTCTTTGAAAGATTCCGGCCTCCGTATTTCCCTTGAACTCAGATGCACTTAGACAGATTTCTTAACTGCTCCTATTTGTTTTGACCGTTCCTCCTGTACTAGTAAAGGTATGTAAGAACTGAAGTTCACTTTTAATCATATGTGGGGAATAGGTAAACTTCTGTGAAGGGAAAGACAACCAAAACCGCACGAAAATCTTACACACCAAAAGGGACCCGGAAATAGCCCAATGAGCTCGTCCGAATATCTAATTTTTATTATCCTAGAGGAGTAAAAATTGTCACTACTTGGGAACACCGAGGTTAAGAGAAGATCCGTGTACATTTCTTTGCCGTTCAAAGGGGAAACATCAGTCAAAAAGATTATCCAACGCAATCGATAGGACTATTTATGCATTCAAGCTTTATGTGTTGTTCACGTACAAGACAATTGTGCGTCTGTGACTGACGGACAAAGTTCCATATTCTGCGGTCTCATTTTGTGTATACTCGTTTACTTGTTCCTGTCGAACAATGCACATAGGCCACTTGGTCAGGTGATTTTCCGAACGGATTCGTGAACACCACCCGGCGCGACTGAACACCGGAACGATTAAGCCACTCATCAGTGCAGTGGTTTCACACCCAGCTGAAACAAATCACACTGTGGACTTGTCCGGGGCTTTCCGATTCCTGTGCAAAGTTCGTAGTTGATTATCGAGGCAACTTCAGTGTCGGATAGTAGCTAAAGCCGAAGCGTTGGGCATTTGTCTGCACACACCCCATCTGTGTATCCAAAATCAATTTGTGCAAACGCTACATCTTTCCTGGAACATCCACCCTCACACCGTGTCACGAGTAATCCCGATGATCGGATGAGTGGATAAACAAATTTGTGATCGTGGTAAACAGAATTTCCGGTCTCATGATGAAATCGTTTCTAGTAATCCGTGGTTTTATTTTACTTTCCCAAGACAATTTTGTTCCCAAGTAGTGATCTATATATAGAGATGTATTGGCATGAAGAGGAATTTCTGTAAACAAGCTTCTTCACTACTCTATTGTTCGGTTTTAAATGTGCTCTGTGGGACTATTTCGACATTAAAATTGTAATACAAGTAAAACTGTATAGAATTAGATCACTCCGCACACACTACTATAGAAACTGATAACAGATATGCAAATTCGGCTGGGTTGAACTGGCATGTTATTACTTAACTCTTAGTAAAACTAAAGNAACTAAAGCACCATTATGGCAAAATAATGGTATGAACACAGAATACACAAGCCTTAAACCCCATTGCCAAGAACGATATAGAATTTACGTTCGGGCTTTTATTCTCCTTACATTTCTAGTTGCAATCGCACTTCAACCCCGGTCTTCTCCTGCCTGCCCACCTGAACATCTCTCTCCTGTCTGTGTGCATGTTATTTTGTTCTCTCTCCAACAGACCACTACACTGTCCACTTTCAAAAAGATGGGCGATTTCATGGACAAACATCCGGAATATTTAGCTGATCGCACCGAGATCGGGGTGGAACGCGTCAAACAAGGAAACTATGCGTTTATTTTGGAATCGGCTTGGAATGAGTACTACGTACAGCGGGATTGCAGCCTAATGCAAGTCGGTGCTCTGCTCGATTCCAAAGGATATGGAATCGGATTTCCACAAGGTGGGAGAGAGCATGTTAATATTGATAGTGGTAGTATTACTACTACCACTACAACGAATGATAATAATGATGATTTATTTAGTTTAATTTAACATACAACGTACGCACCACCATTTTTTCATACTTTGAGAGGAGCAAATTATTCCCAGAGTTGCAGAGCATGTGACTGCCGATCTTGCTTGCCGGGGTCAAAATAACGCAACAACAAATTTATTGGTCTCCCATATCAGGCAGTTATCAGGTACTGGATTCCAGCAAGATGACCATGCACAAACACCGACCAGATGATAATGAAGAAAACCATGTATTTAACTTTATTTTTACTTGGCGAATACAACTACACAATTAGCCTTTAAGAACATGACTACCACTACTACAAGGCTGCATGAGCACTACGGAAAATGAGAAAGACGTGTGGCTGTTGTGCGATTCTCACACACGATCTCTGGGGTGATGATTTGAAGGAATTAGACGCTTAGGCATCCCAAGAAATCATGAGCTTCTCTAGATCAAGTGATTTACGAGCCCTATCACTGATGTGCTTCCTGTCGTGCTCATTGTGATTATAGCATGAGCATACTCTTGTGGATATACACTTAGCTCAAATAAAACACAACACATCAGCCCTTCACTCGCCACTGAAACTTTACAGTTACTTGGTATATATTCGGTCATTCATAGATCATTCGGATTGTGCCGGTGAAGTTCGGTCTACTGTCAGGTTGACAAAGCTAATATTCTCGAATCACAGAGTAGCCAAAGACCCTGGAAGGAATCTTTCGTTTGAATATTGGTCATGTGCATCTCAACCAAAAAACTTAGAGTGGTTGAAGAGTGTGAAACGATACGCTATGTAAAGCTCGCTCACTGCAAAAATAACATATTGAACCACTTGTTTATGACATCGTAGGATCACACCAAATAAGGCTGTCTGCCAGTGCACTCACGGTTAGTGTCACGCATATGGAACTGAAAGTGACGTTTGATCCGTCAATCAGTTGATTTCTCGGGCTTGTTCCCAAGCACAAAGGCAACACTAGAAATAGCAGAAACACCAGATAGAGATGCATAGAATGTGCACAAAGAATTCCTTTTCTCCAAACGGTAGCATCCCTGCTTCCCCCAGAACAATCGCTTTTAGATTAGATACTGCGCAGACATTATAAGCTTAACCGAGGATGGAGATGTGACTGAAATTTATTTTCTACTCTGAAAGAAGGAGAAAGTAGTTTGAAATGAAGCTCATGCTTTGGGTGACCGGGTAGACTAGATATCGAAGCATTTTCCTGTTTTATTTAATACAAGAAAGCCTTCTGTTTCATGAGGAAATGAATAACAGAAATGTTTTTGCTACAATTTATCTGATGTTGAAGTCTTTTAAACAAGACATAATTCATTACTCAACTTCATTTTATGCCATACCTATTCCTGTTAAACATGGAAGCTGATAAAATGAATCAGAATACTTGAATGATTAGAGTTCCGTACCGGTTTACCAATACTTCAACACACGCACACATGCGGAGCTTTGGGCGATGGTTGATGGTGCGTATTTCATCCACACCGAATGCACGTGCAACTCATCACTGAATGCACTGTGGATCGGTGTTTACTTTGCTCGGAATCATCCGGAGAACAAATCCATCGATCTGATTGGGATTCGAACCCTGCCGAAAGGCTTTCAAACTCTGAGTTTGGGTAAACCATAAGCACTGAACTTGTGCTAAATAAATATAATCTCAAAGACAAAAGACACATGGTAAATTTAGTGTAACATTCTCAGATCGCCCAGAGAGAGAGAGGAAGAACAAAGACCGTCTGACTGTCAGATCCGTGTATGTTCGAACGAATACGTCAAGCACTAAAGCACAAGACAAGGGCGACAATCATAACATCATAAAAGGTCAAGGTCAATGACAGTATCTGTTCACGTGCTGACCATTGTCACCCCTAACAGTTAGTCGTGTACAAGGCAAATGCAAAGTGAACTGAAAAGCTTAGCAACACTAGACCTGGTTTGACCTGATTTGGTGGCAAAGATAGGTTTAAATCCATCTTGTATAAGGAACATGAGAAACGGTCCAACACGCTTCCGGAACAGTGGGTGTATATTTATTTTCTGTCGGTGAGGTCCCGGATTCGATCTTCTGCTTGATCGATGGATCCGCACTGTCGATGGTAACAATTCAGGTCGAAACAGCGACCTGGTGCTTTCTAGCTTCCAATTTTACGCTTCATTTACTTTGCGCACGACGAAAGATTCAAGTAGAAATCAAAGAAACCAGAACGGTTCCTGGTACCGACGAAATAAGATGCAGTTTACCAACTATAACAATTAATATTTGATAATTATTGCTCTAACCGCTTGCACCATCCAAGCTGGTCCCATATCAGTTTGTTATAGGTCAATGTACCTCAGTCCCACACTCACACAATGCAGATCCGTGTCATTGTAAACGCTTCTTGCCTGTCCCAATCAGGATCCCCATGGCGCGATCGAGTGTCCAGTGCGATTCTTCAGCTCCAAAACGATCAACAACTGGACAAGTTAAAAAGAAAATGGTGGAATGAGTACAATATTACGGAACCGTGCAACTTGCTCAGGGAATCCAGCAAAGCTCCAAGTCCACTGGGAGTGGAACAGATTGGCGGTGTTTTCATTATGCTCCTGGTTGGATTCTTTCTTGGATTCATGGTTTCCATCGTGGAGTTTATTATTGCCACAAGAGACAAGAAACGAGTACGTGAAATTATTAAATATGCAGGATTTTTGAATTGAGTAGATAGTAAAAAAAATGGTTTGTTAAACAATGAATGAAAATGATTCAAAGATCGATAGAAGGTCAGCAAATCAATTGTCCATTAATTGGTCAAGGAAACTGGTTCATCGTCACGGTCGATCCCATCGAACCCATTACTCCTCGGGGATATGGATTGTGTAGTGAGTTAATAAATGCTGACTAAGTATCTGAGAAGAGGCCTGTGTCCGTACATTGGATTTTGCGTCGTGCTTCTGTGTTCATCTCAATCACAGAGCCTGTAGTCTAATTAACTGAGAATAATAAAGTCATGATTCAGTTGATGTAATGACAAATGCGCTAACACTGTCACATTCGTTTCATATCGGATGATGAAGTTTGTGCAGGCTTATTCTGCGAAAATATTATTCAGGCTTCTGAACGCTTTTATGAGTAAGCTAGCTTGTGTTATCAGTCCATTTTAAATGACGCTTGGTTGTCTGGTGTTTGTTTTGTTTTGTGTGGTATGAGGTTTATCTGAATATTTGGTGGATTACGCAAAGTTAGATTTACCGGTGATCACAAATATCTGAACAAACTGAGTTTCCACACTTTATTTATACCATACATCCAGTATTGTTTCGTAGGTTATGTCCTTGTCCGTGCATAAATCAACTGGCCCATTTGTGACTATTCATACATCAGTAATGTGACAAGCGAAATGGATTTCTGTGTGTACATATGCTACAATCCTTAATCCTCTGTTGAATGAGATGACTCTTGCTGTCAGTATGAATCCAAGTGAGCACAGTATATATACTTAATCTTTCAAGCAGTCCTCTTGTTATCTCCCTTGCAAGGGAATACAACCACTGCGTTCAATTCTTAAATGGTGGTCTGATTTGTTTGTGAGGTTTTATTTATCAAACCAAGTTAATATGTCCCTCCGGGGCGAAGCTTTGCGGAACCACTCTGTACAGCTACCTCATTCTTCTTAAGCATCAGCTACCCAACCCACTGGAATTAGAACCCGGACAAGGAGGGTTGGTGGTTTGAAAGCGCCAATCACCTGGTCTATTCAAGCTGGTCCTCAAAAGCTCGCTACACTTCATCGTCCATCTATCAGCTTATCGAAGAAGTTTCATGGAACCCATAGTTCACCGAGAGAGCTATTACGAAATACATACGTTCAACTTGACTAGCAGAACCAGCAGCCACCTGAAAAAAAGACTTGAACAATCAGTTAGATGCAAATTAACACAGAATGAAAAACATGGTCAGTGTAAGGTTCAGTTCTCGTTCGGTTCAATATGCGCAAATATCCACGTGTGTGACTAATAATATACATCTTATAAATCAGGGCAAGCTTTTCTAACTTTAGTTAGTCTATTCGGAAATTTTCGGAACTGTTCCGAAGTGCTAACTTCAAATACATTCTGCTGTCAATCAGCCTGCAAATGATTTTTTTCTAATCTGTGCTCTCCTTCCTCTCGTTCGTTACACAAAAGTCGGACATCCTGAAGGCTATGTGGCGTGAACTCACGTTCGCAGTTCGTTGTCTAACCACCTCCAAACGTCTCAAGTCGGAAGTGAAGAAAATGCCCCGTTCCCGTTCAAACATCAAACTGATCAGCTCGGTACAGAGTGGCATGTGTGCTATGGATCCGAAATTGGCTTACATACCTCCCACAATTGATCCGCATGTGACAGGTGAGTCGGCCGATCCGCTTCTGGCCAATGCCCAAACTCACCCAGCACAAAGCACTATGAATACCACTCAGCCGGATATGCCTTCGTCACTTGGTTCACTGGATTTCGAGGCAGGACCCGCAGGGGATTATCCAGTCCCGGGAACAGGTCCAGGTCAGATTAATTATCCGTGGACGTCAGGTCCAGCTGCTGCTGCAATACAAAGGCGTCCGAATGTTGGCAGAGTTAAGGCAATGAAAACCAGTATGGTTCATCCAGAGAATCCGAATGCCACTGGTGGTCAAGAATTGTGGCAATTTAATCAAGCTCGTTAGGCCCTTTCTCGGCTCCTTCTCCGTTCCCACCCTCGTCAACCTGATCTCGGTTCGGAATCATTCGCGTCTTCTCTGTTCCAATCCCCTTCATCCCCCCCCATACACACACTGCTACTTCCACATTTACACATCCCAAAACAAATGGGCAACATGGAGAACAAATATCGGTTGCACCCAAGAGCCAAAACCTATTGTACTTTGGATAACTTTATTCAGTAGAATTAGTGTATGCCTGAGGAGGGCTGTGCAATATTGTAGGAAAACATTCAACTGTAGAGTAGTATTAATTTAGAGGTGAGTGCAAGATAAATCGGACTGAGAATGAGTTAGCGATCAGTGTATTTTGGTTAACGCGTTTTGGTGTTCACATTAGATTACACAAATTCTCTCCAGAAAAGACGGAAACTAATCCCCCTTTCTGATTTTTTAACGTTCGTTGTCTAACTATCCCGTTCCTCTGAATTCATGAGTCCCTGTTACACAGCAGACCGTATTACCGTAAGGAAACTTGATGAGACTTTTGTTACTCTCTCCCAATGTGATGTTTTTTTCCGGCTGGCAATTCTTTTGATGCAACCAAACAAGTGAAATCGTTACCCCTTCTAGTTCTATATCACACGGGACTATTCACTCTGTTCGCATTCGTATGTCAGTCGTGGGTCCGGAAGGGATTTTTCATGTAGTTATTTTATTACTCACAAGTAGCAAAACACTATGAGAAGCATTCTCGGATCAGGTGTACAACATTATCATCATCATTATCGTACAGCGTAATACAGTGAAGCGAAATTCAGACAACGCTGCCGTTCGATGCAATATGGAATTATTTGTGGTTTTTGTATGCAGAAATGACGATTGTAGGAAAGTTATCTTCAGTTTCGAACAAAGAATTGAGAAAGCGAGGACGTGGAATGTCATCCACATATGTGGTGATTAGATAACATCCTCAAGTTTCAAAGTATCGTATATTGTGTTTGGATTTTGTTTATCAATGCCGCGGAAGTGGAGGTCTGAAAAACCTTCTTTGAAGGGGAATGAAAACCAAACTTTATATCCTTATTGCTCTCAAATGCCTGTAGCGTCCTAATTTCTAGGCCAATTTTCTATATTACAGGTGACCTTTTATACTCTGAACAGAGAAGAACTCTTGCCTTAACGAACACCCGTCTGTGAGCCGGCCGTTGACAGGGTATTGGCTTTGTGTTGGTGTTTGTTTGCATTGAGTATGGGGTATGGGAGTCCCTATGAGCTTGCGTATTCAAATTCATCCGACCAGAGACCCTGGAGTATGCATGCGCATATCACTCTTTTTCTATTACAGGTTGGTACTGGTCAATCAGCTAATCTCAAATTGTTACTATGTGCGGCAACGGACTGAATACTGCAAATGAGAGCGTCATATTACCCATGAACTTGTCCAAAAATTGTGGATTTTCTAGTTTGAACCCTTTGAGATGATTGGTCAGCATACAGATAGCGAAATAATGAAACAACTCCTTTTTTTACATTTAGCGGAGTCTGTTGAGAGATAATGTCAGAGTTACCCTGTAGCTGAACGAAAAAAGGACTAGGATACTGAAACGTTTCGCTAGCTCGTTATTTCCTCTTCGAAGCAGAAAACGACAATATGGACTAAAGCAAAAATGCGTTGAGTCGAACTGAGATGTTCGTTAATCACCACAGCATGCAGTGAGAATCATTGAAAAAACTTTCATAAACAAAGTAAGATATAAGCAATTAATAATAGGGGTCATTTACTAGATTCCATTTTTATCCGATTTTGCACAAGCTGGGCAGCCTACACTAAATTTTTATTCATCTATCTATGGGAATCAACTTGGGCAGGACGTCGCTTAATACGTATCAATGTCACTTTTACCTGGACCCAGAATCACTGAGTCTGTGTGTGGTTCCGCAAATAAGATAATCCGTTTGTGTTAAACAAAAACATATGTGAAAATGTTTAAGCATTTCGATCTTTGTAACTATAGTCACGTGCATCCGGACTAATCCACAAACTCAGAGACTCTATTGTCTTGCGTGCATTTGAAGGGCAAGTTTGAATTGCACTTCAATCAATGTTTCTAATATAAATCTGTGATCAATAGACTAAACAAGTCTTTTTGATGTTCATATCAATTTCAACGTTTTCCAAACGACCGAAGACCTCAACACGAAAAAAGTAATCCAACTTTGAGTCCCGTGAGATCACTGACTTACCTACGAAAGTGACTTCTCTTTAAAACTTCTTGAAGAAAAATCAAAGCTCGCTCGGGTGCACGGTTGGATTTACGCCAGCAATGTGCTGAAATGGAATCAATTCATGGGTTTCCCGTTTATCGGTGCTGAATCTCTAACCATTTTCGGAAACATGTATCGAAACACTTTGCTTGAAATCTCTTTACGGTCTTTTACGGCCTCTCTCGTAGATTTTACATTCTCCGCTCATCATTCAGTTTAGTGCATTATCACTTTCATGATTAATTACACCACCAATATGCTCACTTTATTTTTACAATATATCAACATACGATTTCTTCCTGGCATACCAGGGAAAACAATCGGAGGTGAGGTATCTCTCAATGCTAGTAAGATTTATTGGTATCGCTCTGTGAAATGACAAATTAATTGCAACAATATATATATGTGTGTGTGTACAAAATACTGTCATGGCTTCAGCAATGAAAAGAGGGAATTTAAACCTTAAGCGTTCTGTAAAGGGAGCTCAGCATTAAACTAATTAAGAGAGAGAATCTTGAAGTCAGTTAAGTCAAACAAATGGAATTTTATTGCTTCAGATACACGGATCGTTTCGCAATAAGTTATTGCAGAATAATTTATATCATATCCCCTAATTGCGGTTACTTTTCCACGTGATCTTGCTCAGTAAAGTGAGGATAGCGACTGTAGGGAGTTTATCAACTGCGAACCTTGTCGGTATGGGGTAGGGGAGTTACTGAGATAGGGTTGTATGAAGTACAACTTCGTAGAGTTTCGCTGAGTATTCATGGGGTCATTCTGAGAACAAGTGGCTGATTCGATCTAACAGAGTAAACTTATTCTCTACCAAGGATAGGATTACTTGATTACGGAATGTCTGAAATTTCATTATGGTTTCAATAGACCATTCGAATTCATGGATACAACAAACTACATGTGACTTCGGGTGATTTTGCTTGTGCACTTCACTCAGTATCTATATTTACACCCCACATATTGAATATTTATAGGATATTAGCTATAGGAGCAAAATACCTGTTGCGGTCAAAATAACGGCAGTATTTTATGACTTGAAGTAATTTTTGTTAAATGTTTTCTCCAATGACCAATACTAAGCATTGGACATATTCTTCGTCCTTTTTGAATCGCCTCAGTGATGCACACTATTATCACATCTCTGCCGGTTACCGGTTCGAGCTCAAATCTACCAAAAATTGACATGCCAAATTGCTCCAAGACGCCACGAGTGCCGTGGTCATCAGCTGGATTGAGTAAGCTGAACACACCAAACAATACTCATAAATATAAAATCTGCAAGCCAACCACAATGAACTGCATTCAGTACACACAATCTCATTTCCTTGTCAGTCAATATTTGGTGAGCCGAAGGCGCTACCCTCACATAATCAAGATAGTTAACTGCTTCTGTTTGAACGAATTAACGGTGTCACATCCGCAAGCAAATCGTAGATTAATTTCTTTATTACTGAGAAGCCTGTATTTTGATTTTCTCACTTAAAAGGCATCGAACAAGAAGAAGAAGAAGCACAATCCATCCACTCGCCGACAGTGGGTGCGTTCATGTAATGAGTATTATACTAATAACTGGGCAAAACCATCCAGAAACATATGACTGCTTTCGTGGTCCTTACCACTGGTCACGTGTACGTATCCGCTAACTTTTTGTCTGGCCATCCTTATACTTGAACTCCCGATGTGAATTACGCAACTCACCTAACCCGCAACACGACAATAGCGATGATTCTTCGAGCTTTCTTCACCTAAAATTCACTGATATTTGCACCCGCTTGTGAGCAAGCTTGGTGAGACAAACATTTACAGTGGATAACAAGAATATCAATTTATTGTTTGCTTCACCCTACGCCCCGTGGTATTTCTGTGTGCATGTGTGTGTGTCTGTTAGTTTATCGTTTTTTACTGGGCACGGGATTTCAAAAGGCAGACCATGCAATATTCGCGAAGTGCTCCAAACAAAGACATAGATGAAACTGGCTTCTTCTTCGTACCTGTGCTCCAATTCATGGTCTGACTGCCGTGACGTTTCTTCTAGCCTTGCCCAGCACGTGCAAATAGAGCACGGAAAGGTGGTGGTCAGTCAGGCAGAACGCAGAACGTGACCAAGTCATCGGACGCCGTAGCCAAACAGTAGCGAAAATATATAGATTCATTTACTTTTTCCAGTTCAACGGTACTTTTGCTGAGGGCGTAATTCAACAAACACGCTGTGATCTGTTCCATGTTGACTACTGACGCAGTCTCGACATACTGCCAAATGTTGGAAAAAAAACATTTCATTCTATTCCACGTCTATTTCATGCACCGAAACCTGAGTAAAGTACGGGTATCCAGGCCTAGCACATTTTAGACTGGAGGTCAAAATGCCTATTGGCAAAATGATCGAGTGCAGATTTGATTCGAACACAAATTCGAACAGATCGATAAACAACTGACAGTGTGGCAACCGGGCTTTAGTTTAGTTTCAAGTAGAAATCAATGGACGTTTTGAAACAAGTGCAATCTGTCCGGTTGTAAACCAACTGCATCACACAAGAACCCTTTTCATGATTCATTGTGACTTCATTTTTAAACGATAAAAGCAATGTTCGTTGGAAAATAAGTTTACACACTAAAATAGCCTGGGTCTTGATTGTGAAAAGCAATGTTGAATTGAGAACAAATCGTTCTTTTGTTATCATAAAAATCCTCATTATAAAGGGATTCTGCAAATGGAGCCAGAAATTGGACAGGCGTCAAACACA